TTTGAGGATGTGGTCGAGCTGCTGGTTCCGGAACTGAGGAGGCGAGGGCTGTACCCGGAGCAGCCGGCGCAGGAGGCGGAGGCCCTGACGGCGCGCGAGAGGGTGTACGGGAAGGGACAGAGGGGGCTGCGAGAGGATCACCCGGGCAGTCGATACAAGTACGACGTATATGTAGATGATGCATGAGCATAGAGCCATAGTCTCTTGATGACGAGGTAGATTGATCTAAGAGCGAACAGTCCGGTCGCAGTATAGATGTTGTGCCTCAATCACCAGATTCAAGATTATGCAGATATCGTCCCAGGAATGTATACCATTTGATACTCCGTACTTGTGCAGATGTAGTGATTGTCCCTGTTGATCCGAGGGTGAGTCTAGACTGGTCTCGCCCAAGTTTGCAGGTTTACTAACATTTACAAGCCCTTTCTCTTCCTTACCATGCTGCTACAGTACCTTGTCCTCGTTCATTCCACTCAAGATGAATAATATCTGATCTAACTGAACGCACTTAAAGCATCTATCTACAGGCCATCACTATGCACAGGCCCAGCAAATGATTGCAGCAAATGCAAAGACCAGTCCAGCCGCCTTCCGCGCTGCGATGCTGTCCGACGATTCCCCGCTGGATCCTTGCATGATGCAGGAGGAGTCCAAGCTGGCCCGTCCACAGTGCACATTCCACAGTCCATACTCCACAGTGGACGAACACCGGTTTGATAGGTTCTCGGAATACTTGTCTATATTCTATATGAAGGATACTACGGGTATAGACGATAATATCTGTTCTCCGTATTATCTATCCCGTAGAGAGGATATTCCACTTTTCGTCTAATCCGACATCGCTAGGTCGGAGGGATTTATATATATATATAGAAATAAACAGACGGTGACTGACCGTTGAATCCTGCAGGATCATAAACACCAACTAACGGTCGGAAAAGAGTTACGTCCACTATGGAGATTGGAGACACTACTGTAGACACAGCGTGCACAGCGTACGGGGTACGGAGTACATTTCCATGAGTTCAGTTGTGTAAATCAATATCATATGTCGGAGCGACCAGCCGGTAATAGATGTAAGTACGGAGCAGCTGTGACCGGCCATAGCTTAAATCACCACCACTAGACTAGACTCTAGAGCAAAGCATAAACTGTACTTTAGTCTCTAACTTTAGTCCCCTGATGGTGGTTTCTGCTAGTGCTTGCTGCGGTGTCTGACTCGATTCCCAAGCGCTGTGATAGGTCCAAGCCGCGTGTTAGGGGCTAGTGTGTTTGTACGTGCATACGACCACTGCTGGTAGCCTCAGTGGTCTGTACTGGCCGGCAGGATTAGGCATTTTACACGAGTACATTGGGCGTGTGATTGATTGGTTATTGGGATCTGTAGGAAGAAATCAGATCACAAGGTATCGGTTATTGAGATCTGAATTAAGGGAGCCCATGTGCATATACAGAGTACAGAGAGTCTGGAGAGGCACACATGAAGGAGGGGCTGTCGGTTAAAAATGGAGATGAGAGGGGTACTTGGAGACCACGGAGCACTTCCCAGCAAAGTAGAGCTGCAATCCTCCGGCCGAGATGACAAGTCATTGCAGACTGCAGTAGCCTGATAATAAGGCCTAGGGTCAAGGGTCAAGGGTCAAGGGCCAGAGACAAAGCAGTCTGACCTCGGATAATCCGAACAGTCATCACTGATCACTGGTAACTCATCAGATGGATGTGGCGGTTGCCAGTGCACGCACTGCACTGCTGCACATACATTGTTAGAAGCCAAAACAGCCTCAAGGCGTCAAGGCACTGGGAGGGACTTGATACTTGGTAAATGGCCACCTGTCACACTGACCGTGGCAGCCACCCCGATCTCCCTCAACAACGCCCCCGACTCCGACAGATTGGTGCTCCCGGCAGTTACTCATGGGGCTTAGCCTCACCCGTATTCCTATCTACTAGTACCTAGTCCATAGGCTCTGTACAAGAAATGCAAAGTTACGATTTAGGTTCAGCTGAACTCTAACGTGGCTGCTCAATCCACAGAACAATACACCCCTAAATTACAGAATTACAGAATAAATGAAATACCTAATAAATAAGAACTCTGTCAATGTATCGGTGTCCGTTCAAGCTAACTGTATTAATCCTAGGCACGGGACAAAGAGGCTAAGAGGCTAGTCTAGAGCTTGAGCCAAGAGGCCCGAGACCAGATTCTCAAGCGCTGATTCGCTCAATCCTCGGCTGCGTCTGTGTGAACCATGGGTTGCTGGCCTGTGGTCACCGGGACGAAGGCTGGGGCTAATCATGTGACTATATGGTCTTTCTTTTTCTTTTCTGTCTCTGGTTCGACCACCAACCGTTATCCAGACTAGCTGCATCAGATCAAATACTCACTGGTTGGATACTTTCCCATCTACATACGGAGTAAAATGAAAAGAAAAAGAAAATCAATATTCAATAATGTGTGTGTGTGTGTCTCAAAACTTAGCGAAAAAAAGCGAGTGGACAGACCACTGCTGCAGGCTGCAGGCCGACAGGCAGAGTAAGTCTGTGGGTCCCTGGAAGCTAGTTTTGGATGCACTAGCCCCAGAATGGAATAGTCCGCACTCTAAGAGCGGGTAGTGAGATTTGGCTGAAAGGGCCCAGGCAGTCTGGCTGGGCAGAGAAGAATCCATTTCTCTGGCGCGCTCGCTTGAGGCTACCCAGATTGTCATGAAGTCCAGTCAAGTTGTTTGGCATCTCGTATTATTGCTGGTCCTCTATGTACTAGTTACAGAATAAGTCTGCATTGATTATGGTCGATGTCTTGGTACTGGTAGTCTCCAATGGTGCTATCTCAGGTGACCACCTAACCTCGGGTGATGCCGCGTGGACAGAACTAACCAATCAGATGGGACAATCCCTCATGCATGGGTAGGCGAACCAGACTCGAGGATTTGTTTGCCTTGGACATTTGCCCTCCATGATCTGGTCGAAGATGAAGAAAATGATGATGGTGATGCACCAGACTTTGCAATCTTAGAAGAATCCTTGGTCTCGCAACGTACTGGAATTATCGACCGCAATCCAGAGCATTCTTCCGGTGGGCTAATTAAACATGGTCGGTATGATGGTATTCCACTGGACCATACATACAAGTCCGCCACTTAGAAGAGCAGGATGACATTCTGCCTCAGCTTACGAAGTACCTGGTAGTATGAACGTGACGATGATGCCTTTCAGTTGGACCCTAATGATACTGACGGCTCGATTTCCATGATGAAGCAATTGATTTGGCTCACTACCATGCCCTCAAGAACTGTCAATCTGGACTCTTGACGCAAGGAGCATTGCCCCTTTTCACCAGCTGTATCTTACCGTACATAGGTACCCAAGTGGTAATCCCGTACTGTGAGTCTGTCGCTGTCAGTGCCCGTGTCTTTGCTTTTTCCCTCCCTGAGGGCTTAAAGAATCCAGTAGCTTCAGAGCTGATCTTCAGAATCGTACCTTTACTGTAGATCAAAGTACAGTCTTGCAATCGATCGTCCATCGCTGCTAAGCTTATTCTCTGCTCCACCATACAGGAGACTTGAGTAACATCCCCCTGCTGGTCCTGGTCCGGTGGCCATCCGATCGTCGACAGCTACTCCACATATCTGGTACCTTGACTTTAGAGGCTTACAGCTACAGCTGACAACTTACGGATTTACAGTACGGAGGACTCTGTTTTGTCAAGGGCTTGTCCATACAACAGAGAATGCGCTCGTACTCGGTTTCTACCAGCGATTGATGCTTATCGGCCAATCATCGTAGGGTGACCTCTTCGATCGCTGTGGTCGCACTGGACGAAATTAATACCAGATACCTTACGGCCACTCCGTAGAGCCGTGGAATGATCAGAACAATGGGGCAAATTGAGTGGCACTGGTTACTGCTAGTAGTCTCCAGTCTAGTCTGAGACTGTTAACCTGGTTGCTGGTTCGTTTGTGGCCATCTCCTGGGACTTGACTTGGAGAGCCCTGTCAACCACGTTGCTGATGATCGGTCCCAGTCCCCTCTTTGACCAAGGACGATTATTATTAGCCAGGAGATATCTCCCTTCGACCTATCTATCTCTGGATCTATTCTTATTCCTTGTGAATAGTGCCTACTTTCTTTTTCTCTCTACAAACACCCGTCTCCCCCTATTCTTTGCTAGAGGACGTATCATTCTCAGCTGAAGTTCACTCTCGAAGCAAACCTGAAATAAATCAATTTGGTCTCCTTACCAGACCCCTTAGGCTAGCTTTTCCCAGGTAAACCTCATTCTTTCTTCGTTTTGTCGCCTCTATTTTAATTTTTCCTTTTTTCCCTTTTTTTTTTTTCTGGTCATTTTCTTTTTCGTTACCCTTTTCTTTTACCCTCCCGAATTACGGAATAATAATTATTATTATTATTTTTTCGCACTTGACCCTTTCCAGACGACAACCCAAAATTTCCCGCCCGAAATTCCTCCCCCGCGCTGGCCAGACCCAGACCCGTCGCTGGTTTTGACCGTAGAGTGGTCTGGATACTCGCGCGCTCTTTGGTTTTGGTTTTGTTGTTGTTGTGCTTGTTCTTCTCATTTATTATTATTCGGTCTGTCTGTCTGGTTTGGTCTTGTATTTTATTTGACTTTACTTTATTTTATTTTATTGCCATTGCTGGCTGTTATTCTCCTCTACCTTATATTATTCTTGTTATTATTATTTACCGGCGCTGGCTCTGCCTCTTCGTTTCTTCCTTTCCTCTCTTCCACTCTATCAGTGCCCTCCTAATAATACCACGATCCGATCACTTTCCTCGATTGTCATCACCACCACCGCAGTCTCATCACCACACGATCATCATCACCACGATAGTCTTTCTGCCTTTTGCTGACTCCCTGTCCGATCCGTCGTCGTCAGGAATCGAGTCCATTCGCGCACTCTCGATCGCTAATTATTACCAAAGATAGACTTGGCCGCCGTCGTATTCCTCTGATCGCGCGGTCGGCTTTGTCAAGACAATGCATGTCTCTGACGCCTGGTGAATTTCAAAATACCATCAGCTCCATTGCCTCTACATCCAATATCTGCTCTGCGCATTTTCAGGCTTGCGCTGTACAGTCTTAACTTGATACAAGAGGTCAGAGTATGTCCTCGGTATAAGTGTTGGGTGACCCTGAACATCAGTCGGGTACACTACCACATCAATCCAACTTCCCAAGACCAGGAACGAGAGAGCGAACGGGATTCTCGACTCAACCGAGACGGGCCGTCAAATATAAGAATCGACATCTATTTGACGTCAAATCTCGATTTCTCAAGGCGATCGCTCTCGCGCGATCCGCTCGCCCCTCCTGGATCCTCCAGACATCGTCTCTGGTGCCCTGTCTGGCAGTCGATTCTGGACTGTTGGGGACGACAACGGATTGTCCTCCACTTTGTCCCATCCTCCGGCCGCGGACTCGACGGCCGAGCTGTACCAACCCATCGCCTTTTCTCGAGACACCTCCGCCAACCTGGCTGCTCTCGCGATCCCTCCGCCGGGCATGGGCACGGCGTTGGGCGACTTGAATGCCCCGCCGCCGTTGAACGCACGGCGGCCGGCGGCGCCCACGCTCCCCAGCTTTGAGCTGCCCCCGCCGAACTTTCAGATCAGCGTCGGGACCCCCAAGTATCCGCTTCAGTCGAATGCGCACCTTCCAACGCATCACAATCTGAACAGTCTGTTGACACCGCCGGCATCGACTCAAGCCAGCGACGTGTCCGCTCCGAGCACGGCCGCGCCGACGACCACCGTGTCTGCGTCCCCGGACGTGGCTCCATCGTATGGAACGGCGTACTGGCAGGGACACAGTGGCTATGGAAGCACTCCTGGCGGCGCTGCGCCGCGGCAACCATGGAATACGGGGACCAACCAGTCATATCCGACGCGGGAGTCGTTTTCACCGTCGACATTACACCCGCTGAGCCGAAATCCGCCGACGTCTCCTCCCGTGACCGAAGGCATGGCACAGCCGTACGACATGCACCACCACCTCCCTCCGTTCCAGCAATCGCTTTCCGTTCCCCCGTCAGGCATGGCGACCGCAACACCGCAGCATCCCGCCATGACGCACGCCATGTTGTCCAGTCCCACGGGATTGCCCCACCCAGGGCCGTCTCCGCACCTCCTCCCCTCAAATGACCCTTACGGACCCAAATCGCAGTCGGCACCCGTCTACGGTGCAGCACAGCAGATTCCCAGCCCGCACCAGACCAGTTTCCCGCCGTACGGACAGCCGGGGCTCGGCATCCATCCGCCGGGTCGTGTCTCGTCCACTGGGCCACCACCTCACCTGAGCTATTCGCGGCAGCCCTGGCCATCATACTCGCTCCCGGCGATGAACGGGCCGGTGATGACGAACATCCACAGTCCGAACGGCCAAATGTCGTTGCTGGGAAGCATGCAGGCGGGCATTCTCCCGGGCTTCAACAGTGGCCATGTGGCCAGCATGCAGCAGATGTACGGCGGGCATCCGCCACACCCCATCCACCAGCCGGGGCCGCCCAACGACCGGCCGTTCAAGTGTGATCAGTGTCCGCAAAGCTTCAACCGGAATCACGACCTGAAGCGACATAAGCGTATTCATCTGTCGGTGAAGCCGTTTCCATGTACACATTGCGACAAGAGTTTTTCCCGCAAGGATGCATTGAAGGTACCTCCCCTCGATCTTTTTGTCCTCTGTTCTCGCACTGACTCTTTAGCGACATATTCTGGTCAAAGGATGCGGCAAGGACGGGTCGGACGGGTCGAATAAGACGAGCACGGCGAGTGTCAAGGAGGAGGACAAGGAGAGCGTCGATACCAATGGGCACAGCTGATCAGTTTTCTACGAGCATTGTTCTCAAGGCGTTGAGTAGGGGACTAGCGATGATTTCGAGTCTGTCTTCCATCTCTATCCATTTCTATCCATCTATTTATTGTTGTTGAACGAGGCTATGGCGAATGTTGATATTATTGCGTACGGAGCGGCTTTTTGCACCTAACTCCTTGGTATGGGTTTGGATGGTTAGCGTTGGACTGTGTAGATTACTCTTATTCTTATTCCTATTCCTTATTCACTATTCACTATTCACTCATTCACATCACTGAGACAGTACAGTATTAGTCTGAGTCAATGGCACAGGCCGCGTCAGGGAGACAAAGAAAAGTGCCACTAGTCCTTACAATTACGAACACATAAATACCTGCAACATCCAAAATACTATCCTCACATCAAATCTCTACAATGTTCCTCCTACTGATTTTCCTCTCCCTGGTCCTCGCCCAACTTCCCCCCGTCTCTTTCTATAGCATCGCCATCCCCAGCGCTCCATCCCCCAATCTCAGCACCGCAACCTTCACCACCCCGTCCACCCGCCTATCGACCCTCTCCGAACCCAAAGTCCACCCCATCAACACCACCGTCTTCGACTGGTGGTACTTTGACGCCGTCTCCTCTTCGAATCCGAACGTTTCTCTCGTCCTCACCCTCTTCACCAGCACCCCCGCTGCGTTTCCATTCCTCCCGTCCAGAAACGCCTCCTCCGTCCTCCTGTCCTACCTCTGGATCTCCTTCGCCAATGGGACGAGCTACGCTGCCTACGCGGACGCATCCCTCGCGACGGTCGATGCAGCCGGGGGTGTCACTCAGGGGGTATGGCATGACAGTGGTGTTTCCTTTACTGGATCCGAGCAGGGGGAGTATGAGATTGTCATTGACGGAGTAGGGGTAGGGGTAACTGGGTCGATGAGCTTATCTTCTGTTCGTCTCTCCCCTCCACTGAGGATAAGCTAAGCTAAGCTTGGCTAATGTAGGTGTCGAACCCGCATACGCCCTGCGGTGACGACCGGCTGCGTCTGGGTGGTGGTAGTACGGGTACGGTTGGAATCGGCTGGGCGAGTCTCCTCCCCGATGCGGAGGCGAGTGTTGATGTTTTGGTGGAGGGGGAGAGGGTACAGTTTACCGGCGTTGGGTATCATGATAAGGTGTGTTTTCTGTCTACGAGTGTAGGATGTGGGAGTGGGATGTGAGGGCTTGGCTAACTGACGAAGAACTGGTCGGATGGACCGTTTGAGGCGGCGGTGCGGACGTGGTACTGGGGTCGAGGCCGGGTGGGCCCGTACTCTGTCGTCTGGTTTGATATGCTTCCTCTTGCGGAGGAAGAAGTGGTGAGTGGGTATGTGGCTGTTGGACGGGAGGTTGTCGTGTCTAGTTGTGAGGAGGGGGTCGTGTCTGTAAGGCCATGGAAGAATGGGAAGGCAGCTGCTTACCCGCCTGTGCTTGGGGATGTGCCGGATGGGTTCAGGGTGGTTTATACCATGGGAATGGAGGTGGACGTTACCCTTGGGGCGATGGTCGCTGGGGATGGAAAGTACTATGCGCGGTGGACGGGGACGATGAGGGCCGAGGTAGAGGGCGAGGTGTACGAGGGGGTGGGCATATTCGAGCAGTTTGTGATGCAGTAATCATCAAATATCAACAGAGTAGACATAAAGCTGAGCAAGTAAAGGGTATCAGTCACTAGAATTGCCGGCCATCCACTCCTCCACCAACCCCCGATAATCCTCCAACCCATACGGGCTCAACACCCTGCCCAAAGTACCGCTCTTCCTCACGCTCCTCACCCCCAGATCCTTCAACAGCAAATCCACATACGGAATCGCATCAAACACAAAGTCGGGGTTCCGCTTCCCAAACCCCCCGGGATACCGCCACCTGCCAAACTGACTATGCAGCGCCGTCTCCCACACCAGATCCAGGTCTTCGCGCTCCTCCACCAGCTTGCCCACGTCTGCGTCTGCATCAGCCGCCCTGACGGCAGACGGACACCTCTCCGTCGGCTGGAGAACGGGCTTCCCCCCGAAAAACGCGGTAATCCACAGCGCCTGCGCCTGCGCAACCAGCGTCGTGTTGATCGTCATGGTAATCCCCATAAACGCCAGCGAGCGCTCCCGCGCCAGCGAACACGGCACCATGAACCGGGCCAGGCGGAAGGGGTGCGCGGCCGCGGCGGGGGCGTCGGGCGCGAGCGGCGCGTAGTCCTTGGGCGGGGCGGGCTGGTCGCGTAGCCGAGGGAACCGGCGGAGGATTTCTTCGTCAGCGGCGGCGAGGAGGTCTTCCGGGATGGGGTCGGCGGCCCAGGGGAAGCCGCAGTCGGTGTCCAGACCGGCAGGCAGGAAGTCGAGGTTTGGGGTGGCTTTCCAGCCCGTGGAGCAGATGAGGGCGGAGGAGGGGAGGTCTGTCCCGGAGGAAAGGTGGACGGTGCCCTGGGAGAGACGGGTGATGTTGGCGATGTGGACGCGCACGGCGCCGGAGCGGACAAGGTCAAAAAAATCGGTTGGGTAGTTGAGGATGCTGAGGCTGGCGGCGATCCAGAAGGGGCTGATCCAGGGCTTGAGCTTGGCGGTCTCCGGGTGGGCGTCGTAGCGGTTCAGCTGGATGACGTCGTTGGCGAGGATGGCCCAAAAGGCGTCGACGATCTTGCGGCCGAGCCAGGTGCCGTGCAGGAAGCGGCGGATGCGCGGGTAGCCGTCGGCGTGGCCCCAGATGCAGGGGCTGAAGAAGGTCAGGAGGCGCGTGGTGACCAGCTTCTCGAGCCACTTCTTCAGCGGGGTGACGTACGGCGGCGCCATCCAGACGGGGCCGTGGCCGTTCTCGCGGATCACCCAGTCGACCTGCGCGCCGGACGTGGCGGCCGAGTAGACGGCGTCCCAGGCGGATTTGGTGCCGCCGAAGACGGTGATGCGGCGGCCCTTTTGGAGAACCTCGGCCTCGTGCTGGAGGAGATCGCGGCAGTGGAAGAGCGGCGCGTCAAAGGTATCCTGGCCGGGGAAGGTGGGCAGGTAGGCCTGCGAGGTGATGCCGGTCGCGACGATGAGTTTGCGCGTTACCATCTCGGTCACTTTATCGTCCGCCTGCTCTTCGGTACTGACTGTAGTCAACAGCCAGGTGCCGTCAGGGCGATGTTCAGCCGATCGCACGCGCGTGTTGAGCCGGATGCGATCGCGGAACTGAAAATGCTCGGCGAATTTCTCCATGTACTGCTGGATGACCTGGCCGGGGATATGCTCGCCCGGCTGGACGCCAAAGGTCTCGGGGTCCATGGGGAAATCGCTAAATTCATAAGTGCCCAGCATGTTGTTGGACTTGAGGCCCTTGTACAGCCGATGTTTGGCCCACACGCCTCCAATGAACGAGGCTGCCTCCAGAAGGACCACATTGCTGGACGGGTGGACCTGGAGATAGGTCTTGATGGCGGCGAGACCACTCCAGCCTGAGTTGTTAGTATCTGATAATCAACTTGAGAGGAAGAGCATACCGGCACCGATGACCGTCAAATCGACCGGCTCCATGATGGGACACTCAATTGACCGTTCACAAATCAATCAATCGGGTGCTGCAAGTAAGAAAAGGCAAAGAAGCAGAAAGTGATGTGTAGACGAGGAGTCGGCAATCAAACAGGGAAGATGGATAAAAGAACGACCAGTGGACACAAGAGGGTCTGGACTTTTGTATTATTAGTCTCATAGCCATGGATTGTGCATGGACTGCAGAGTCTGAGAGTCCTGCTAGACAGACTCGCATGACTGAAAGGAAACGGTAGCGGGGAATTATTCCTAGCGCCGCTAGACTGGAGCCACTCGACTAGGATAGGAAGATTATATGTGGAGAAACTAGAGATAGACAGAGCATTGACTTTGGAGTAAAGTATTGTGGGACAGCATACTCGAAACAGTCAATTGCATGTCTAGTATGGTGGACTTACTGCAAGTACCACGGAAGAAAGGGATAGCCAAAGACCAGTGCACAGATGGACATGGACATGTATGTTTGCTTAGAATGCCCAAGACAATCCTTACTGGACTGGAATTAGTGTGCTCTTAGTGTTTTTAGCTGCAGACCGGCCCTGTTAGCGTCTGTGAGTGACATTTGTCAGGTCAGTGCATCAAGGGATAACTTAATCAAGAAAGCATCTCAAATTGTGATCATCAGGAAGAAGATTCCATTTTCTCAATTGCAAAGTCGAAGCAATTGTTGCCTATTTATAATTAGAACCGGCGTGCTCTATTCGACGCCGTTATTGGACATTGTTATATCATGTCATATATGGGCCTCGGTCTATGCAAGCAAGCTCAGGACCCATAACGGTTGCTTTAACATGACAGGGATCATTGACTGATTTTTATGTCAATTGACTTGGAAATGCTAAAGCTGATGAAAAACGGTTCTTCTTCTTGGTCCTCCTAAGTGACCTGTCACTTTTCATCAAATGACACCTCGACTTGATCAGACTCCAGGGCACTGACATTCAATGCGATCAAATCAGGATTACAAAGTCTATCTACTCAAATCTTCGCAAGCAGTTCCTCTTCTGATCTTGATTGACTCTCCTCCCGAGGAATTGCCTCTTTTCTAGCAGTTACTCCTAATTCTCCGTCATGTCAGTGCCTCACTCGGACGGCCCCTCGGCTACCTCTTCGGTCCAACGTCTATGCTCCATATGCCCCGCCGATCCTCATTCAACAGGAACCTGATGGGTCTTGATGACTGTCTGACAAGGATCCTAGTGTGTCTCAAGTGGCCAGAGCATCAGACAACCGTTCTCGACCTCGTCCTGAACAGTGGATAAGATGTGGACACCAGTAATAAAGGCAAGAGACAGACCCCCCCGAATGCTTGCTCGCCTTTTCTGCCAGGAATTTGCAGGACTCGAAGTCTATCAATCAAGGAGTCGTTCAGCCCTGCAAGTAGTCTTTCTACACATCGTCGGTGGCGGGATTATCGGGATTCAACTGTTGCTGTGCTCGATCTATATCTTCCTTGTTTCTCTTCCCTCGAGGGGCTCTTAGTCTTCAGTCATTCATTCATTGTCTCCTACAAACACTCATTCCTTCTGTCCATAAGGAAAGAGCTGAGACAGCTCATGGGTCATCATGGCCGACAGCTTCACCACCGAGGCCTTTACCCTCCTCGCCCTCGCCATCGTCGTCATTATCCTTCGCATCATCGCTCGCATCTCCACCGTGGGATTCCACAATTTCCAGCTCGATGATTACCTGATGCCTCTGGCCGGAGTATGTCCTATGTCACTCGTTTACTGACATCTACTGACATGACGGATGCAGGTGGTCTACGGCCTCGAAACAGGCGCAGCCTACTGCGTCGGCGCCTGGTGGAAAGGAATGGCCAACAACGCCATGACCGATGCCCAGCGCGCCGCCCTCTCGCCCGACTCGGAGGAATTCAGACTGCGAGTAGGCGGATCCAAGACACAGGTGCTGGGGTGGTCGTTGTACACGACCTTGCTGTGGTTGTTGAAGGCCTGCATGGCCATCTTCTACTCGCGTTTGACGTATGTTCCGTCGCATTTTATGAAGGTGGATACTGACGGACCAGGGCCGGTCTGATCAATATGCATATCCGGGTGCGGGTGGCCTACGTCGCCATCGGCGTGACCTACCTGACTGTGATCTTGTCGATATTGTTTGGCTGCCATCCCATGCACAAGAATTGGCAGATATACCCTGATCCTGGCTGTATGTGCTGCTCTCTTGAAAGGTTGCTTATACTGACATGTCAGTACACTGCCAACCCGCCATCTCGCCGATTGATGTCTACGTGACGGTCACACTGAATGTGGCAACCGATGTATACCTCATTACCATTCCTACACCGGTACGTCCCCGTCTCTACAAATCGAAGCGTCTAACATCCGTAGATGCTCTTCAAAGCGCGTCTCCCCTGGCGCGAGAAACTCGAGCTCTTCGTCCTCTTCTCCGGCGGCATCTTCGTCATGGCGTCCGGAATACTCCGCTGCGTTTTGATCGTCACAGTAAGTTGCTGACCCCAGTTCTATGACTTGGCTAAATTGCGGCCAGGCCGGCGCAAACGGGGCCTCCCAAGCCGGCAGCTGGGCCTGCCGCGAGACTTTCGTCGCCGTCGTCATCGGCAACGCCCCCATGATCTACCCCCTGTTCCGCCGGGCCGCCCGCCGCGCAGGCTGGTACATCAGCTCCCGGGGCCAGTCGAAGAGCTACCCGGCGTACCCGCTGTCCGAAGGCGAGCGCGAGAACTCGACGCACCACAGCAAGAAGCGCCGCTTCCGGCATCCGCTCAGCATCCCCGACACGCAGTGGCATACCATCAACGACGAGACGATGATCCTGCCGACGTCGCGGCAGCAACCGCCCACCTGTACGGCCGGGGGCGGGGACTGGGACGAGTCGAGCCAGCCCAGCACGGAGGGGATCAAGGTGGTGCATGAGACGATAATTGAACGGAATGAACGTTAACCTCAGTACTTATGTCGTATGTTGTATATAGTCACAAAGTCAATAATCATATGTCCTCCGATAGTAATCCTTCCTCCTCATCTCCACCTCCTGCTCCACCCGCGGAGCCAACACCTCATCCCGGACCAGCGACGCCTTGACCGGATTCCTCGACTGAAAGATAGCAGTCAGCTCCTCGAGCGTGCGGCGCGACGTCTCCACAAAGCAAAACCAAATCACCACCAGCTCCAGCACATCCCAGAAGATAAACAGGAGGTAATACCGCCACCCGGCCCGCGTAAACGCAATCCCCGTCACAAACGTATTGTAGAAGTTGGCAATGTTAATGAAGAAATTGCTCATCCCCATCCCCTTCGCCCGCGACTCGTACCGCAGACACTCAACGGGGTACATGGCCTGATTCGGCGTCCAGCCGGCCGAGTACACGAGCCCAAAGAGGAAGATCATGGCGATCTGCGCGCGCGCCACCACCGCGCTCTTGGCGACGACGGTGCCGCTGCCATCAGCCGTCTCGACGTTCGTGGCGTTCAGCGCCGAGATGATACTGAAGATGAGGACTATTAGGCCCGTCGAGGTGAGCAGCTGCGCGCGCCGCCCGATTCGGTCCGTCAGCAGTGCGCCGAAGATGGCGCCGACGAACTGGCAGACGTTTTGCAGGCCTTGCAGCAGCAGTCGTGTCGAGTTGGAGGTTATCCCTGCCCCGGCGAGCATCTGCGGGTAGTAGTACGAGACGGGGCCGTTGCCGGACCATTGCCCGAAGAAAGCTACCCATATCAGCTTGTCTCCGTCAAGGTGGATGGGAGGAGGGGATACCCGTGAACATAACCAGCATAGAGCGGTAGCGCGTCTCGCGCGAGTTGAACAGCTCGCGGTAATCCCACCAGCGCTTGTCGGCGCCCGTGTTGGAGATATCCTCGACCATCTCGCGGTACTCGAGCTGCACGAGCGGGGCGTTGCGGTCGCCGTCGCCGTGGTACGTTGCCAGCACGCGGATGGCTTCTTCGTGTTTGTCGCGAGACACTAGCCACCGGGGGCTCTGCATCACGTCACCATCTGCATCTACAGACAGAAAGAGAAGAAGATACCTCAGGAATGGTCCAGCAGAGCCCCAGCACCAAGCCTGCAAACACCATCTGCACCCACACCGGGATCCGCCAGCTCATCGTCCCCTCGATCATGCTCGTGCGCCAGGGTATAAACGTCCCCGGGATGCCGCCGGCAAACCACAGCACGTTGTACAGGCCTGTCAGGGAGCCGCGCCAGGATGGGTGCGCGATCTCAGACACGTAGGCTGGGCCGGCGGTGGCGGAGGTCGCGACCCCGAAGCCGAGGATGAAGCGGCCGGCCATGAAGCCGGCGAGGTTGGTGCAGGTTGCTTGGACGATGGTGCCGATGATGATGAAGAAGGCGCCCAGCGCCATGCCCACCCGTCGTCCTGTCAGCGTTAGCTTCATCCGATAAGTGAAAGAGGTAAATACCCCTAAAATCGGTAAACGGTCCAGCGCAGAACGACCCCACGATATTCCCGATGGTGTAGATGGCGTACACGATCCCCGTCGAGGGCGTGCCGGCTTCCGGGTCGAAGCCAAAGTACTCCCGGTACTGGCTGTAGCTGTTGATGGAGCCCATGAGCGAGCCGTCGTAGCCGTTGATGCACGAGTTGAGCGTGGCGACCGCAATGGCCCAGTATAACTGATCCTTAGTTTTGCGATGAAGCAAAAGGAAGAGGATGTACCTTGAACATGTTTTTGCTCCACAGCTTCGGCTTCTGCTGGAAAGTTGCCATCGCCAGGGCGGCATTGTTGATGCCCCGGATGTAGGCGTCATCCGGGTAGTACAGGATCTGCACTGTGTCGTGGCTATTGAGTCGCTCCATGGTAGGTCTCGACCGGAGTCTGCTAGGCAGAGGCTGGATGTCCTGTGGGTGTGCCTCACTTAATGTAGTCTGATACCGATCTAGAGTATCTGAACAGGGATTCTGCCATAGCCTGAGCATGAGACAGCATCGACTCTTGGAGTGTTTGAGCTAGTCGAGGTCGGGGACCCCGCATTGAGTGTGCCAGTCTGTTACAATAATGATTCAGGCTGTGGTGAATTCATCCGTCTCCAATTGGGAAATATCAGTGCTTTAGTCGGATTCAAACGGTCAATGCATGGACTTGGTCATTTGGTGCCACATGGTCGGGAGGGATGCACTAGAATCGACTTCAATCTATTGACAGAATATAATTGAGTGATTCTAGGGAAACCGTGGAAGTATTAATTACAACGCCACATCAACAAGCGAACGCTCGGGAAGACGCTTGGATCGTGTCTGTCTACAGTTGAATGCCTTCATTCGCTTGACTAACTCCAACCAACACGGGCGTCGGTCCGAACACCCGCTTGCTCAGCCTGACTCTTATCATCCTGTGGACTCTTTATGAAGAACTTTGTATTATCATTCTGGTAGAATTTTCGTGTTATTCAGAACGACTTGCAAGTTGCAACTCGCACATACTGTGCTTCATGACGAGTCTTGACCATGATTATACTCCGCACAGGCTCCCTTGTTTCAGGCATGCTGCTAGAGTAAAGATCGACTGCTGGGCATCCTGAAGGGGAGATTATCCACCAATATCGACCGGATTCCTCCGTTTCCTTGATCCACGGACTATCGTCGTGATATGGCAGAAGTATGAGTCTGAGACCGAGACTAATGCACATCAGCCGCCACATACTCAGTCTCTATTCCAGACTGAGGCATCCCAATTGCCGTGCTGGATGATGCAGGTACATTCAGTGTCCAATGCTCAATTGCTACATACAGGTATAGGCTACAGAACAACTGGTATCATTCATCTATCTAATATACAGAGTTTGCTACAAATACATACAGTCATATCAACAAGCCATCGCCTCAAAGATTTCCCTCCTCTCCTGCGGCGTAATCGACAAACTCAACGTATAATACCTCCCCTGAATCAACTCCGACTCCCCCCTCGGCTCCCCCGCCAGCACCAACCTCGTCCCCCCGGCATACGGCACCGCAAACCAAACCGGCTCCCCGCGCCGATCCGCCCCCTCCCAGTACTCCATGTTACACGACATGCTACTCCCATACAGCAGGGGATTGAACCCATTACACACCGCCTCTGGGATATGCAGCACGTCCTCCAGCACGATGACATGCGAGCTGGCGCCCCCGTCCCTACCCCGGCCACCTCCAGCTCCTCCTGCGGATCGAAGATGTTGTTCTTGATACGGGTTCGGTGCGGCATCGCCCGGTAGTGTGTGAATGAGGCGCGGTCGCGCGCGTAATGGCAGTTCCCGGAGACGACCATCCAGTCGTAGCAGATGCGGGATGCGCCGTGCGTCGTTTTGGTCCGTTTGCGCGGTCGTCGGTCGCGTCGGCGGCGGGGTCAGTGTCAGCATCGAGGGTGAATTCGTCATGGCTGCGCATGGTTCTCTGCTCTGCTGCTGCTGTTCCTGCTGTGGTGGATGTTAGCATGCGCGAGGTGAGTTGGGTAGCGGACGTCTTCCGTACTGGGTCAATTGGTCTAGTGTAGCGCGTGGTTGGTGGCGCGTAGTTGACAAGTATGCGCAAGCTGGACTGTGTCAATTGCGACAAGATCAGCGGAAGAGATTGAGCTGAAACAACCGTCGCGGCGGATGAGGCCTCCTGCCAGAAGCGGAAGACGGGCAGTATCTCTCGAAAGGAAGGCGGTAGAGATGCTGGCCAATCATGGATGAGCGGTGTGCGGCATAGGATAAACTCCGTTCATGACGCTAACTGTTTCGGGTAAATGGCCTTGTGTCACACTTTTGTGCAAGAGAGGTATAAGGTAGGCATATGACGTGAGGATAGATTGAGCAAAGGTCCTAAGGTAGAAGCCAGTGTTGTACTGGTTCAACTTTCAACAGAAGTAGTCCGTATCAGCAGAGAGGATATCTAAGAATCTGCTTCAGATCAGAGGCCAACTAATATGCTGGTATACCTACAATTAACAAACGTTATGGTACTTATACTAAGGTATGTCTCCAGACCAGCTGATATGTGGCCGAATCATAAGTAACTTGTTGCGACCAAGCAATAACCTTGGATACGCTGGATAAGCCTAATGGAGGTTCCTTGGATATGCATCTTCTCTCAAGATATCACTGTGAATTAGTTGTGTAGCCTAGGAATGACCTATTCAATGGTGATGTCCCTAAATTTGTCAACTGACAGCTTACTGGAGTTCAACATCTCTGTGAGAGCGTAAACTCTCTCCCTCAGCAGAGACTTGCTGTACAAGTCACTTATAGCGAGGGCATAAAGCCGGCAAAGGATACATGACTCGTATGGCCCTGTGAAGCAGGGAAAGTCATGTGCGAATCCTATCTGCACAATCGCGGTCTAAACGACAGTGCCCATGTGGATATTGTGGAATTAGCAGCAGGACAAATCCCGGGGCTGAACTGGCGGTGTTATTGAGAGATGGGATGGGGACATGGGGTACAACGGAGCGACACTTGGGACAAAGTGAAGTCAAGCTGCAGATCTTGGCTCTGATCACTGGATGCGGGGGGGTCTATTCCATCTATTCCATCCGGAGCAGGACAATGTCATTCTGATGATTTGTTCTCTGTTAGTGTGTTGTTGCTTGCACCTCCAAAGCTAGATCGCATAGTTGAAAGGAGGAAATGCTCTCAGTCTCTTGCCAGCTCCTGCTTTACTAACCAGATTGGGAAGTAGTGGTTAGACCTTCGCTCCTTCCTAATCCGGAATATCCGACGCAATGATGAACATGAACCGCTAATCCTAGGATAGAACGATGAGTAGATCCTATCCATGAGTATGCATGCATGTGGCGGAAACAAATTCCTTGAGGCATTCATGTGTCATTCTGAGTCAACCGAGGTAGCGCAGATAGTCGTCTTTGACAAATCAAGTGCCTCTCGAGGACGAGCCGACTAACCTCTGATTGACCAAAGATGATGATCATTAAGCTAGTAAATGTAAGTCGCCATTGACGCGTACGGAAGCACTCAGCTCAGTCGCATTAATTTGCTCAATCTACTACTAATACTGGCCAGGTGGGATCCACGTAAATCCAGTCGATACAATGCCACGGCCTCGGGTTTTGATCGTTGCCCCACAGTTCATTCTCTCCCCTTTGAGATCCCGACGGTTTGGGTTTGGATGGATCACGTCAGTCGATCTGTTCATCATGATAATCAGTAGATCTGTGGCAACTGGATATAGGTAGGTAGATACTGAACAGCTATTCTCTATCAAACGTCATGCCATTATGTCTTGACACGTCCCTGTTGATATTGCCTAGAATTATCTAGAATACTCTAGTCTCGGCAGTTCTTCGTAATGCCGTCCAAGTTCAACATAAGGTTTAATAGTCAGTTGTAGGCTTCTAAGTACCTTCTCGTAAATTCTAACTTGCAACTGGAGAGGAGGAGTACATACATACATACTACAGAGCACATACCAAGTCTACTGCAGTGGAAAGACAGCGGCCAATCATTCCTCGTATAAACGGAGTCCAGCTCAGCCGGGAGAGCCGAGCGAGGGCCGGACGAGCTAAGGTACACCCGCAGAAGCAAACAAGCGCCCTGATTGTTGGAAATAACTGCCGGGGAATCCGGAGCAGCTGATTGGATGAGACGGCAGACTGTCCTGACCAGGTAAACAACAACCAAAAGAATATGATCCTCGCCTGAACCAGTCCTGTATCCATAGTATTTCGATCGGACGAATACAAATGCTTGGCCTCCTTATCAGGGACGCCAGTATGCCCTTGTGGCATCTAATTGGCTCTCCAAGATGCATATTTGATGTCAGATCCAGACCATGAAGGCATACCCAACTTTCCTATAAGAACCCCCAGAAGCACCCTCTTCCCCCCCCGCCCGCCGGCCGTTTGCCCTCTCTCGACCGGTTCTCTTACCTGGCCCTTCTTCTGACGCGAGATTTATGTCCGACTCGCATTACCCGTCTTCCTCTCGTCCTCTCGCCCCTGCTCCAGGTCGCCTTTTGAAACGGAATGCCTCATCCGAAGAGTTGGTGCCCGCGCGAAAGCACAAAACCACCGCTTGCAAAGCCTGTAAACGCAAGAAATTAAAAGTCGGTGCTTTTTCCCATTTACCGCGTTTGATTTTCATCGGGCTCACCAGAACAGTGTCGCGGAGATCCTCCATGTCAGCATTGCGTCAGCCATGGCATCAAATGCGAGGTTGACGCAATGTCCGACATGCGCCGGAAAAACGCCATGGACCGCAAGGTGGCAAAGCTGGAGAAAGTGGCCGACACATTAACCCGGCTGGTCAACGCCCTGCGCGACAGCGAGAGCAGACGAGTCTCGCAGCTGTTGAATCTGATCCGAAGTAATGCCTCGTTCGACGAACTCCAGCTGTTTCTGGAGCAGCAGTTTTCCCACTACGAGTTGGACTCGACCCCCGAATTGCGCGATATCCAAAGCCAGCTCTCCCAAACGACGGACATTGCGCCCCTGGGATGGCGCTACCTACGAGTCGATCGGCTGGCCGACGACCCTGTGTACAAGGTCCCCGCAAAGCCTTGGACGGCGGTGACGGACGACAGCGGGCTGGTGTCTCATCTGATGTCGCTGTGGTTAACCTGGACGTATTCCTGGTTCAATTGGCTGGATGCCGATTGTTTGATCAAGCATATGCAGGAAGGAAATCCGAATTCCCGGTTCTGCTCGCCTTTTCTGGTCAATGCCATTCTCGCAGAAGCATGTGTACGTTTGTATTGCACGGATACGGCCTTTTATTCCTGACTCGTGTACAGTATTACTCCGACTACGAAGAAGTATTTACCGTTCCCGGCGACATGCTCACTCGAGGCGACCAATTCTTCGACGAGGCACGTCGTCTGTTCGAGGCTGGCGAAGACGAAGGCGACTCTCCGAGCCTACCGACTATCCAGGGGCTCATGATTTTGTTCGTTCGGTAAGACGCTCATTCGAATGTGGGACAGGGACTTTCTCTGACATTATCAGAACAACGTTGATGGGTAAAGATCGAATGGGATGGGTCTATCTAGATCTAGCCGCCCGGGGAGCCCAAGAGTATGCTGCGTCTCATCCACCTCACGCCATGGAAGATGCGGAAGAAAGAAGGGCGATTGACAGGACCCTTTGGGGCATTTTCAGCATGGCTTCGTATGCTTTACCGACCCCTGCCGGTCATTCAAGAGGCTGACTGTCCAGAACGGCGTCCGTTTCTCTGATGAAGCATTTTGATATCCATCCTCCCCAGCAGTCTCCCATTACTCGTATCATCCATCAACGGCATAGGGACGATGTCTGGCAACCGTATCCGCGCTCGACCGACGCCGGGGTCCCCAGCCATATCTCCTGTGTGTTCAACCGGTGGTGCGCGATCGCCTGCATCACCGTTGAAATCACCCGCGCCTTCTTCCAGGAAGAGGACCGGATCCCTCGGGTCGAAGTGCTCCCTTTCGTCAGTGACATCTACCAAAAATTGCAGGACTGGTACGCAGGCATGCCGGAGTGTCTTTTGGTTGAGAATGTCACCGTTCCTCACGCCCTGAGCCTCCAGTAAGCCATCCGCAACCTTGCGAATAGATTGCCTGCTGATCACATGGCCAGCCTCTTCTATCACACCACGGTAATGCAAATCTTCGGCCTGCTTAAAGCCAACAACGAAGACCTCGATCCCGAGACCATCCACCGCGCGCGCACCACCTGCATCGAGAACGCTCTCCGCATCGCCTATCTCATCGGCATCCACCGCAACAAATGGGGCATCGGCCGCATGGCCCCCTCCACCATCCAATGGCTGAGCGTCGGCATGTTCACCCTCCTCGAGGCGCTCGACACGCCCGACAGCCGCAACCGCGCCGCCTTCATCGACATGTGCATCGTCGCCCGGGCGATTGCGCGCCGCTTCCCGCTGGCCAAGGGCATCCTGCGCATGATCCAGCTCTCGGCGAACCAGATGCAGGTCGTCTTGCCTGCCGAGACGGATGCCCTGTTTACTGACTTTGAGACGCGCAGCTGGGAGGGCAAGGATCGCCATACGTTTAGTACCTTCTACCCGAACTTTGTGACGGCGGTGCGCCAGGGGTCGAGACGCGAGGGGGACGTGTCTATGGATCGGTTTCTGGAAAAATGGGATCATTTGGAGATTGCGGATTGTAAGGAGCAGACGCCAGACGGAGAGATGGCTCACATGGCTCACATGGCTCACATGGCTCACATGGCTCACGATTAGATAGATACCCTGTAGAGTAATGCATCTGACGAACATTCATGTTTGACGACCACTGCCGTTCTCTCTACTGCACTCTCTCCAGCTGACGATATAAAGACACTGCACTGGATTGTATTCTTGACCCAATGTCAAAATCCCACAACATCCTCTTCAAGTACAAACCCTCCATCAAATGGAGCGAAGAATCCGAGACGTTTCGAGGTCTTCCTGTCCTTCAACCCAAGAAGGGAGCTGCATGACTGTCTGAAGCCAGTCATTGCGATGTCATGAACAGTGGCTACCATCTCCATCATACACATGTCATCATGACCACCAGCCAGCCATAATAAATAGTTCAATCCTCATCTCATCCACTTAGCAACCTTCAACCACCTCAAAATGAACCTGATCAAGCTGCTCGCCACATTTGCCCTGGTGCCTTTGGCCGCCAGCCTCGCCCCGGATGCACTTGCAATCGGCTTGAGCCATCACAGACACCACGACGGGAATCATCATGGAGGCGGTCACCATGGCTGTCCGGATAACCCGCAAGAGTGTAATCATCATGTTTGTGCTGCATGTTCGGTACTATATCCGATGAGGCTGACGAGCGTAGTGCCAAAGCCGGCGATTTGACCGCGGAGTGTGCATCGCACCTAAGAAGACCAAGGGCAGGGGGACTTATTGCTCGTGTGTTGATGATCGAATGTGGTGATGCTTGATTTTCCCTACTTTGAAGAGGTGAAGTCTGGATCATCCACCCGGTATCGTATCGATTCATGGCACTGTTCTACAGACAACCGAGATCAACCATGTCCAATGTCTCTACTCTTCCTTTTATCTACAGGGATTTATGAATACGAGAGCAGTAGCACAGATGTGAGATGTGGACCTGTCTTACTCTTCGTATCCCCATGGATCCTCCTGCATTAGTCCTATCCACAATGACTCACTCACTCCCTTGTACTCCGTATATAAATACCCAATCCATCAGATAACCCTTATCAATCTCATCATTCTCTTATCATCGTCTGAATAACATCAACATCATCATATCGATCGGATCAAAATGTCCAACTTCCTCCAATCCCACCCCCCTCACATCCTCTCCCTCCTGGACCGCCTCCACGCAGAATCAACCACCCAGGAATCCTCCATCCCCCGATCAGCCTACACCACCCCGTCCACAGACTCCTTCCACACCCTCATGCGCGATAAATTCATCGCCCTCGAGCAAGACAAGTGCCACTTCATCTACCAGCTCGCCCGCACCCTCAACGCAACAACCATCGTCGAAGCAGGCACCTCCTACGGCGTCAGCACCATCTACCTCGCCCTCGCCGTGACGGATAACCTCGCCGCTGCGACTACCCCCGGCAAAGGGACGGTCATCGCGACCGAATACGAGCCGGCCAAGGCCGAGCAGGCGCGCAAGCATTGGGCCGAGTGCGGGGAGACCATCAGTAGCGTGATTGACCTGCGCGAGGGCGATCTGCGGGAGACGCTCAAGACGGACCTCCCTGACCAGGTCGATATGCTTCTTCTTGATAGTAAGTTTTATGGCCTGGTCGTGACGAGTGGCTGACGAGGTAGTCTGGACGCCGATGGCGCTTCCCACGCTGAAGCTCGTCCAGCCGAAGCTGAGGTATGGCGCTGTCGTGGTGGCGGATAACACGCTGAGCTCGGCGGAGGGATACAAGGAGCTGCTGGAGTATGTGCGTGCTCCTGGCAGTGGGTTTAGTACTTTGACGTTGCCGTATAAGGGGGGTCTGGAGATGATTGTTTACCTCCCGCGCCAGTAGCTTTTATTCTTGTGTCTCAGTATAGTGACGAAGATATTACAAAACATATCTAAAGAACGGATTCTCCTTATCCGTCAGATCATTAAACGCCACCTTATCCCGCTGGCTCTCATCCAGATCCATCGCCTCCCTCCGCCGATTCTCCCTCCACAGCACCACGTACAGCGCCCCCGCCGCCACAATCGTAACGCAGTAGCAGATGATCAACCCCGTCCACAGCTCCGGGTAATGCCGCGCCACCGTCTGCGTCTTGACCAGCTGCGGCCCGATGATGTTGCCCACCGTGTACGCCACAAACACCGTCGCCGCCATGACGGTCTTCTTCGTGGCGCCCGCGACGTTGCTCGCGCCCAGCGTGATGATCAGACTGACCACCGGCCCGAAGAACCCCGTCAGCGCGTACCCGACCACCGGCGCCGCGGGCTGGTACCCCCAGGTGGATTTCCAGATGAGCACGCACCCCGCGATGACGGGCAGGCAGCAGGCGACGAGCATGGGGATGCGCGTGTTGGGGACGCGCGAGGCGATGTACCCGCACAGCGGGATGAAGATGACGCAGATCCCGCCGACGGGGAACTGGAAGAGGATGGAGTCGAGGGTGTCGTAGCCGAAGGTGGAGACGATGAGGGGGCCGAACCCGGAGATTGCGCCGTTGATTGTATACCTACGATTATCATTATCAGCTTTTGCATTGCAGTAAAGAGGGGACGGGGCTTACGCGGCAGCCATCATGATGGCAATCAGGTACATCTTCACGTCCAGTGCGGACTCTCTAATCTGCGAGAGCTTGATCTTCTGGCAGCGCACGCCCGTTTGACCCCTGCGGAGCCGCTCGACCGCGACGACGCGCTCCTCATGCGTCAGGAACCAGGCCGAAACGGGCGAGTTGGGCATTGCGCAGCACCAGATCCCAAAGAGGAAGGTCAGCACGCCGGCGAAGATGTAGATGTACTGCCAGCGCTTCAGCGAGCCGGAGGTGATCTGTCCGAAGCCGTAGTTCATCGCGCCGCCGATGATGGTGAACCATCCCGTGCCGGAGAACCACCACGCCTGGCGAAGAGACTGCTCCTTTTGCGTGTAGTAGCCGCTGACGATGGTCATGAAGCCGGTGGGGACCACGCTTTCCACGAAGCCTGTCTTGTCAGACTTGCTTTCCTTCAGAAGGATAAAAACTTACCTAGGAAGAAGCGCTGAACGAACAAACCCTGCCAGGTCGTTACCCCCGCGGTAGCAGCACAGGTGAGAGCCCACAGCATGACGATCGGCCCAAAGACATGCTGGATCTTGAAGCGCTGCACGAAAAAGGTCATCGGGTAGAGACCGGCCAGCATACCAAAGTAGAAAATCGACGTCGCCCAGCTGAGCCGGGACGTGTCTTTTGACGGGGGCGTCGTGCTGTGGTCGATGACCACCAGGTGCAGGTCGGTGGTCATGCCGAACAGCGTCGCGCTTCCGAGAATCGCCTTGTCCCAGTATACGAGTCCATATCCGATCAGCATGGCCGGCATGAAGAAGAGGTCGATCTTGCGCAGGACTCGCTTCTCCACCTCTGGATCGATCTCCATTGCCACATCGCTGACTACCGCCAGCGCGGCATCCTTGTCGAATAGCTCGCCTTCGGCGCGAAGCCGTTCAGGGTCGCCTGTTGCGCTGGGAACTTGAATCATCTTGTTGTCGGTTGAGAGTGATTCCGTCCGCTGTACCTCTGGGTACTGGAAGCAAAAATGAAGAAAAGTACGTCCGGGGTTATGCGCTCCGACTGCACGGACTGGCAGACAGAAATTAGTTCAATTGATATCGAGTTAGACTTAGACCGGCCGCGGGCAACTTTATTTGATTTTTTACTTGCTCTGATTGGCCCAACGGGAATAGATGGGCCCTCGGTGAAAATGTTGGGATGGTGGAGTTGGCCGGCTTGGTCCTATACTCCTACATTTCCCGATGCGAGTACCACAGTTATCTATAGCTTCATTTTATGCCATGTACAGGAAAAAGATCAAGATGATCAATCATCAATCACAATTACCTCTCTTTTCTCCCCATTATCCTGGCCCTCCATAGCCCAACCGCCAGGAAACCTCTCCCGCAGAAACTCCCTAACCGCAACAAGCGGCACCCCATGCCTCATAGCCGTAGTATCATCCCACGACGAATGCAAACCCAGTAATACGCCATCGGTCCGCCGCAGCAATGGCGCCCCAGAATGACCCCAGTACGTCCAGGCATCGTGCTTCAAGGCGCCAATCTCCTCGTTATCATGTGGGTCAGCACCGGGTATCAACCCGCGCAGTCGACCTTCAGAAATCTCAATAAGATCGTAGGCTGTTTTCTGCGGGACGACCGATTCAAGATCATCAGAGCCCGGCTGTCCAATGCAGAGTATCTCGGCGTGGAGAGAAGATGATGGTGGTGCCAGTGGTACGCACGCGAAGCTTGGGATCAAATTCCCGGAGGCAGCCGGGGGCAGGCATTCAAGCGAAGTGATTTTGGCGAGAGCAAGGTCCCGCCGTGCGTCCCAGGCTATACACTCGGCTTGCACTGCTTGTCCCGTGAAATAGAGGAGCCATTTCCGCCGGTTCGAGCGCCACTCCGCCTCGGTCTCCCCGAAGCAATGCGCGCAGGTGAGGAGCCATCCGGCTGGGTGGATGCAGACCGCTGTGCCTGCTTCGTGCTGCGCGAAGATGAGAGTTGAGGAGAGGGCTTGAACGGCGTGTGCGCCGTAGCCTGCTGCGGTTGTTTTGGTGGCGGATGCGGATGCGCGTAGACGGGATTGCTTTTTGCGGAGGAGGGTTGTTTCTTTTGTGCTTAGATTCGGGAAACGAGGCAGGTCTGGGGGTATCAGGTTGATGGTTTGTTGTGGTTGACTTGAGCTGGCATGTGGTGTGGTGAAGTGGACTGGTTGACTCAGAGACACGGTGTTGGTTTCCGGGTGTTCGGATTCTACGCGACGTCTGCTGGATCGTAGAGTCTGAGGCATCTCGTACAGAGCATTCACTAGAAGATCCCCTTACTGGACGATATCTCTCAAGACAGGCTGCTGCGATATGAACTGGATGAGAGTTCAGGAAAGCAGCGCCAGGATTTAGGCAGCATCACATACGAGCGCTAGCCTCTTTGGGAATGCATCTCGATTGCATGGATGATTCACGCTGGTAAGATGCTATCATCTGAAGACTGCTCATGCTACGAGTCCAACTACCCGATGATCAGTCCGTATTTCCCCTTGCCCTCCGTCACACGGAACGCCCATTTAACCCCCTCATACTCCTTTCTGGCCATTGCAACCACTTTGAATTTTTCCGCAGGAGGCCTTGTCGAAGACGTAACAGCTGTCTTGTTGATCCTGGGCTCTTTCCACGCGCCGCCGAGAGGGACAATGTCATATCGAAGCACAAGCATGGCAATCAGAGCCAGGATCTCCCCCGTGGCAAAGTGCCTGCCCGGACAAACGTGCGGAGATGTTCCAAAGGACAGAAACCCGTTGGCTTTCTTGCGGCTGTCAGACTGGTTGATTTTGACAAATCGGCGAGGGTCGTATTCGTCCGCGTCGCTGCCCCAGATTGTCCGGTCGCGGTTGATCGCGTGTGCCGGCATCTGCAAGACTCCACCCTTTTTCAGAAGATACCGGTCATCCAGGATGGTGTCCTCAAAGATAATCCGTATAGGAACGGTATTAGAACGTAGCCGTAGCGTCTCCTGGAACGCCGACATTAGCAGCGGGCACTTCTCCTTGATCTCGGCGAGATCAATGGTGTGCACGCCCTGCGCATCAACCTGGACTGCACGCTGAGCAACTTCATCCCGCACTTCCTTGAGCAACTCCGGACGCGAGAAGATGTCAAACATGAACCAGAACATGGCCGGAACTGTGTTCGACAAGGTCCCCAATGCAGCAGCCGCCTCCAGGCGGGCAATGTCCTCCAGCGTGGCACCGCCTTTCTGCTGCGTCTCCCACCGAGCATACGTCAACTGTGACGAGTCGAGATGCCCACCAGCACGGTAGTAATCGAGGAAGGCTGCCACGAGTCGCTGCCGTGCCTTCCATGCCTTGCGCGCTGTGACCCTCTGCACGACGTCCATCAGCAGCAGCGCGAGATTCTCCTCAAAGTCCCTACCCAGTTAGCTTGAATCACAAAGCAGACTGAAAACGTACCAGAACGCATCCTGCAGCTCCTTGGACCGGTACGGATTCAGAGGCCCATACACCGCATCCGTACTGGAGACGGTGAGGGCCGCACGACACCACCCGTGAAAATCAAACGGCGCAGCGGTCGGCAAGTCATCAACGCTCCCGAGCAAGAACCCAATCACCTTCTCGTTCATCCCGTCCAATCCCGCTCCCTCGAGAGCCGGACGCATCGCGTTGACGACGTCTCCGTGCAAGTTCTCGCCCCCGGGCCGCTTCTCGCTGAGGAGCTCAAACCCGCGTCCTCTGAGGCCGGTCACGCGCCGCGCCGCGCCGGTAATGGCGGGCTCAAATGACATGGTACGGTGATGGCGCCGGGCAGCAATGACTAGATTCGCGGTGGCGATGACATAGATTTTGGTGAAGAGCACGTCCATGGTGAAGGCATCGAGGCCGTGTTTTGCGCTATTCCTGTTAGTTTGAGGCTTGTGGTAAGGGTGATGGAGCATACGTCTGCAACGCGTAGTAGTCGACTCCATGACGAATGAAGCCGATCATATGGCCGATGAATGGGATGCCATTGTGGACTACGGGGGGTTCGCGCGGATCATGTCTGATGCGGAGAATGAGAGCAGATCCCGCGATGATGAGGAGGGTCACCACAACCAAGGACAGATTGTCCATGGTAAGTCCAGATTGAGCAATCAGTGTAGTGGATAATGCCAGCTGGGATCTGTAGATGGGAGAGTTGCAAATGGAGATGTTGTGTTGTGTGTTGTTACTGGAAGAAGATTATGCCTCTAACTGGATTAGGTAAGCATATACACTGCAGAGTGCATATTGAAGATTTAATAATAATGAATAGAAATACCATTCACTCACGGATATTGGGCTGTGAGTGAGTCGAATGAAATAATTAAGTGCTACTAGGATCAAAAGTGAGTCATCCAGTGTTAATCCCCAAGCCCTGGTTCTTCCCACTGATATATATCATGATCACCTGCTTGACTGCTTTCTGTCAGTTTTGCTTCATGTACGTTTAATATCTTGGATTGTAATGGAGGACTTAATGCAAACTCCTACTGAAGGAATGCTCATATCAATGAGACCTGGGTGAACTTACAATGAAGGAATTTGGCGTCGAGAACTGGGCTACTTCTATCATGACTGGAAAGGAGACAAGAGACGATCGACTTTTGAGCGAATCCAGAGTCATCCCGGCGCCAGTACCTGTGTTTTTTTTCTTCTCTTTACAGAGCATAACCCTCTAAGAATGCTCTGCTAATGGGAATCAGAGAGGAAGGATTCGACGATTGGCCAGAGTTGAATGAATCAGAAACTAACCTTCAATTAGCGCAGGGCTTCGGCCTAGGGAGCCTGGGCGCATTTCGTAACATTTGACTGGCCAGTATTGAATAAATCTGATTGATCTGCCTATCAAATACCATCTCTAGCCGGTTGTGCATAAGGCTAGAGGGAGATGTCCACCCTTTTCCTAGGTGCATTTGTATTATGTGATTAGTCGATATTGAAATCTGCCTATCAAATGTCTTTCCTGGCAGGCTGTGTACAAGTCTAGGGAGATGTACAGGAGACCCATGTACAAGCACTGCCAACGTAGCATTGGTCCCTGTAACTGGTTACTGTCCAGTGTACATAGTGAGATTCTATTTATAAAGACATTCGCTCGAAGCGGAGAAGGAATAGGTCAGTTTCTCCATTACTCCAGGCAAGCGCATTGATCATCCAGAATGCCATCACAAGTAGAATAATCATGGCAGCCAGTTCATACGCGAGACTTGACAAGGTGGTCACTTTCCAGTTTATGTTCATACGAACAACTGGACGAAGATGCACAGTCACAGCAAAGTCACAGGACTGGAAGACATCCCAGTCCATACCCTGCTGAGCAAGAGAAGAAGGAACAGCCTCCTTACAAGTTATATGTAACTAGGTTATCAACTCCTTATTATTAAATAAAAACCCCTAGTGGCACAAACTCTCACCTCTTCTGCTTTTCTTTAAACTAAATCTTTCATAAATAAGCCATGGGAACTCAACAGCTGAAGGTAACTAAGGGTGTATAGATCCCAAAGGAATTAAAAGAGTTCTGATACAATCAAAAAGCACTTAAAAATAGAGCTAATTATCATGAAGATAAGTCAACTTAAAGACATGAGCTGCCAGCCACTGCCAGGAATGGGATGCAATCATATGATACTATATTAGACTATCACTTATGCATCATTTGGTACATTTTTGATCCTTCCCAGCCTTCCTTAGAGCAACAGCTTAGGACATTATATTTAATATATATTTCTGGAAACACTGCCGGAGCTTAAAACGTCAAAGATAACTTAAAACATTAGTAATGCAGTATTAGCAACTTGCTACATAGACACAGAGCCCATTATCAAAGTCTAAGTACTTAGGTCACTGTCTTGCCAACACCAGGCTCCAGTTCTAGCCGTGAGCTGTGAGCCAGCACAGCTCCCTGGTGACCAACAAGTCCCCCTGGCATTGGGGCTATGCATGAAGGAGCACATGATCTGGACATAATCCCCACACCTGATCGAGAGCCCAGATGGTCGTGGGTTTCTTTCCCATGGTCTACGCTTATCTCCCAAAGAAACGATCGACAGAGAACAGCACAGAGAGATCACAGATCTAGAAGACATAGTGTCTTCATAATTAAAAGCCATTGCACGCGGATCCATCGGAGACGAAGCGCATATTTTGATGATGTTGACGCAGATTGGGCCTGAGATCTTCGGCCTCAAGCGAAATCGGCTTTAAAACCCCTCTCCATCGCTCTCCGTTTCTTCTTTCCTGGAAGTATCCGCGCCACCATACCAGGGATAACAAAGGTGACTATAAAGACCCCAAGACAAAATGGTAGTGCAGTAGCCAGATACTGAGACAGTTGAACCTGCCCACCGTTAAAGATGTTGAGATTCATTCCATATACGGATGCGATGAAGGACAGCAAGAACAGGATGTTTATCATATACGCAATCTGATCAATTTTTGTTATAATATGCTCACCGTAGTGTCGATTCCAGCTGTACGGATTTGGAGGATCCGGCGGGCCCCCCGTCCCTCCAGAAGCGCCTGGACTATCAGAGTCGGGAATTGCATGCATTGGGGGGCAACTGTGGCAACGGAACCCGGGAGCTCTGACTACTGAGAACCAGCAAGGAGTCGCGTTTGGAAAGGAGGGCGTCATTTTCGCGCTGGAGTCGCTGGGCCTGTTGGATTAGAAATGTCAAATTATTCCTGATTAGTTCAGTGTCCACGTTCCCATGCCCCGGAAGCCTGGAGCGAAGGACGTCGCAGTCGTGCATCGCACGCTGCATTGAGCAGAAGACTTCATGAAGTTCCTCATAACAAGCGTTCGAGCGAATCTGCCAGAGGAACCTTTAAAGTAGACATATTCATGGATAGGCGGTGCCGCGGTGGAAGGTACTTAGGTGCCCACATTTGGTATTAACTTGAGGTTGTGACTTATTTTCACTAGTTATGACTAATTTATATTAGTAAGATAGCATAAATAATAGTTATTTAGTAGACTAAGACTAGATTAGATTAAATAAGAAGTATACTACTCTTATAACTTAATAAAACTTTAGTCTTCTTATTTTAATATTATTCTATAACTATAGTAATACTATTTTAGAAGAGGAGCGTTCTTGATTACTAATCTGTTGTGGAGAAGAAACCGATTGCGCATCCACTGTCAGGGAGAGTAGTCTAGACTTGCTGGACATGGTCTGTAGTACATTAGAGAATGTTTGTTTACTATTATTGAGGTGCAAGGCTCACCTTCAGGAGCCTTTCCAGGTTTCCTACGGTGAGTACTGCATTGGACAGCGCCCCTAACAGACTTGAAGCCTTGGCCCAGTAAAGGAGGTGACCTTCAAGAAATTTGTGGGTTAGGCTGCTATCAACCAGGTCATTTCGTTGCGGTGCCTCGCAAAGGTGGTCAACCCAGTGGATGCAAGAGTACTGTACGGAAGCCAATGGATCTGGAACTGGCATCTTGAGATCGTCGATGGAGAATCCGGGATGGCGCAGGCTGTAGATGTCTCGCCGCAGCGTCTTTAGCATGGCCTGCAGCGATTGTAGGGACATATCGCGATGGACCTCGGAGGTGCCAGTGGGGAAGATTGTGGTGGTTGCCATGTCGCTCATTAAGTAGTCCTTGGCTGACTGGTGGATAATATAGACTCGGTCGTCTCGCAAAGTCAGGAATGAGCCGCACATACTTACAAGCTCCCGAACTCTTTGCGCCTTATTAGAGATCTTTTCCGGTAGCCCAGAGAGCACGCCCAGCTCAAGTACATGAAGCGGACGATATGCCAGGGTGGCTGTTGAAAGCATGAGCTGACAAAACTCTGGATTTTGCCTTTTCAGTTGTTGGATTTGCTTCATCATTTAAGCATACAGCTCTTCCAAGCCTGTCGATATCTCCTTGAGCACGTCTAACACATCCCAGCTTGCAACCGTTTTGAGCTCCTGAACGATGAGGGCCACCCAAAGGAACGTGTCTGCAGCCTTCTGGCGCAGGATGTGTTGCACTTGATCTCGACGTGTGTCATTGTCTTGTAGCGATTCCAGCTGGGAGACGCTATCGTTGATATACACGCCGACGGCATGGGACACATACTCTGTGTTGGATTTTAGCTCGAGGCTCAGCTTCGTTTGCGAGTCATTGAGCTTCAGCTGCTGTTCAATGTCGTGCCTGTTGCGGGTGGAGATGATCCACTTGACGCGGGAAGCAGATGTATCGGTGCCTTGGCAGAAGAAGTATGAGAGGACAGTGGGGGAAGCCGACGGTTCTGCCTGCTTAAGCTCGCGGTCCAGTTCGTCGACAATGCCGATCAGCAACATGGTCTTTCCCTTGCCCGGATCGCCCTTGATCCAGAGCAGCCGGCTCTGGTCATCATTGCGCCATCGTTGGAAGTCGGAGTGGTCGAGGATCCACTTGTACGAGCCCTCCAGTAGGCCGCCGATGATGACGATAATTGAAAGGTTGAGACGTTTGGGAACAAGCCGCCGTGAGGAGATCTGCGACGCTGACGGCCGTGCAATGTAACCTCCGATGGGGCGTCAGACGGGGCGGAGGAGCAGAACATCGATGAGAGCAGTCGGTGAGATTTCGCAACAAGGGAGGTCAGCGGAATCGCAGAGACACGCAATGTGAAAACCAACTTAGCAGAAGGCGATCAAAATTGGCCTTGTAGCAGGATTCCCGGTAATTTTTTCGGGAAAAAGAGCATTGGCACGCAATCACACGATGTGGTGAAGGACTGGATCATGCGCTGTGTTTCTGCTCCTGGGCGATCCTGGGCGACCGAGGCAGTTTGCTCATGGCCTAATTGCTCCAGACAACCCTGCTATTATGATAAAGTAACCATGGAGCAGTTCAGCTCTTATTTTATTATTGGTTTGTTGAATTCACTAAGCAAGGGATCCTTACACCTGAGAAGCAAGTTTAGATTTACTATGAATCTGACTTGCTACTTTGCAGCCTTGCTTATTTTTATTTTTTATTTATTTTCAAAAAACAGAAAAAAGAAAAAAATCCAACTATATTGCTACTACGGTCTTGCTGCAGATTTGGTGAATTTCCAATCCAGTTAGTAACCACACACTCAGCTTACACCACAATGGTTGAAAATTGATGGTATATAATGCCCTTCAGCTCCTGCCAAGTTCAAGTTGGGAGTTCTAACCATCAATACCATTTCTCAGTCAATCATTCACAGCTAAAACTACGAACTACTGTACGTTTCAAGTTCTATTCTTCCATTTCTCTTGGACCTCCTATACTAACAAGGCTACGTAACAGTTCCAAGATTTTTCCTCTTGGCGCTATGAGGATCTACGCTCCGCTCATGCTTCTTGCTGGATGCTTCCAGGCAACCAGAGCTTCCTGGCTTGAGCTGATCAGCATAGGCTTTGACACCAGAGGCGTTTTCCACGATGACAATGGTCGCAGCTTTATTGATAGAGACTTCAATGACCATTGCCCCCCGCGGAACATCCCTGGCATCAAAGAGTTGTGTATGGACTGGGGCAACCGTCGAGGTCACCTCATTACGGACTCGGGAGCGCGCTACTGCTATTCACAAACGTCACGAGCTTGGATCAGAGGAAATGGCCCTGATCAAGGAAAGGGAGCCGTTTATTATTACCAGTGGTCCAATGTAGCCTGTACCTGGCTGGCCAAGAGAGCTCTAGTCAACAAGACCGAGACAGTTGACGAAGGCGGTACAGAGGAGGAGGAGAATGGGAAGGTTTTTCTTAACCCACCTCTCTAGAGCATAAAAGGACTAGAGCAAGTGGGTGCGAAATCCAAGGTCGATTTGGGGAGATCTTTAGAGGACTTGGCTGTTTTTGTGATTACAGAGTTGTGGGTCCTTTGATTGTGATTTGAGAGTACCGAAAGGAGGAGTAGAGTTAAAACCTTGTCTAGAATGGATAGAAACTGTGAGAGACTGTGTGGCTACTTTAAAATATTAACTTCAGCCTATAAACCTCATTACAAAGTGACTGGTATTTTTATCACATGTCATGTAGAAGCTACTCTAGTTATTCCTTCTAATAACTTCTCTATGCTTCTCAAGTAATCTGCTTATTTTTAGACTGACTGCCGGGACGGGATTTCCTGTCCCGTTTCCTGTCCTGTTCCAGTCAGCAGGATACAGTCAGCCCCCTTCTCTTCTCTCCCTTCCTTTGGCGACCCCAACTGGCTCAGGCAGCCAGTCGATTCGATTCCACCAGCTGGAGGTCAATTCGCGCGTGGACCAATCCCACTGGAAGCCACGAGATGATTACTGCGGCCAGCCTGCCATCCTTGATGCACAGCCCACACGCAGATTCCAGTTGGGGCAACTTGGCAACAGATTTCATTTCCAGAGTCTCAGCCCTAGAAGAAACCAGTGAAAAAGTTCCACCAGTGGGAAATGTTCATCATCCTAGTGGTCTTGAAAGTGTGTACTCAACTGGCGACAATGGCATACAGAATGACGCTATCACTGGCACCCCCTGATGTGACGAATGCTCTGTTTACAACGACTTTCGCCGGTGCCGGCTTGCAAAATTCACTAGCCGTCGATGGAGAACGTCAGTCCTGTCGTAAGATTCTTCTATTTAGGTGGATATCATAGTAGACGGGAATCTGGCTGGGTGCGCCTGAGATCATTCCCACCCTACTTGGGAATATTGAGGGCGGACGTTTTGCTGGTAGGTACCATCTCTCAGATCGCGGATGGGTAACAGGTGCAGGCACGTACTACCGGTATATGTACCTCTTGAGTGGAGAGGCAGGTACTCTGACTTGGAAGCGTGAATTGGGCACGGTGACGCCTCGATCAGAGGATGTGGAGGCTGTGGCTGCCGATAAGCAGAACTAATATTTGGGATCTTAAGGTTATGATTTCTATAAAGTTACTAATGTAATGATTGATCTAAGATCGCTTGATCTCTGCAATAGATAGGAACAGGAATAGACCTGACCCTCGCCTACGTCCCGAATTCTACAGTAGCATACAGAAACAAAAGAAGATAGATGCTGAGGAGCTGCGCCCTTATGATGGCAGCAATAAACAAGATCAGCCATGGTCATCAGAGCAGACCCAAGACATTGTTAGGGTTTCTTCCATTCAGCACAAGCGGTGATTCCCCAGCGATTGGGAGTCCCCTGTTATTGATTTGTAAGGTTGTCCATCACCATTATACAGTCTTCATTATCTAGTTCAACGAAGCAATGAGAAAGAAAAGAACAAGAATGAACCAACATCGATGGTCGAAAACTTGAAGATGTTAAGGAAAAGAAGAAAAAAGAAGGTCCCATCGGGAATTGAACCCGAGTTGCCGGAAAACTGACACACGTCAAAATCCGGAGTCATAACCACTAGACCATGGAACCAGTTGATGTCCATCACCGCAGATTTAGCAATATATAAGGAAAGCAGTCCTCGAATACCTTTTTCTTGCAGTTGATTGTATTGCTGTACTGGAATTGCACAAGAATAAATTAAGTGTGAAGATTTAGAATATCTCTACTACCTTAGTGGAGTTTCTAAGAATAATCAGGATTATGTTGTCACATTACCCTTATGCCAACTTTAAATTAATGCTTTTCCACTGATGGCATACGGGAAAATATACATCTAGCATGCTGCATTTTGAAGTTGCTACGAGATGCTCAATCTGCAGAGACTTCCACTAGTCGCTCTCATTGCTAACTATAATTGAAGGCACAATCTCTGCATTACCTAACGGCTACAGACACTGGGAGTACCATTGGTTCTGAACGTTGCAAGTGTAGGGCGACGCACAAGCCGTGGGTCCAGTCCAGCCCTGTCCGCCGCACTGTCCGTAGTGGGTTTGCGTTACCGCGGGCGCGGTGCTGGTAGTAGTCTTGGTCGACGTGGTCGACGTCTTGGTGGTTGTGGTTGTCGTGCTCGAGCCACCAGAACCCTTGCAAGTCGATCCGATATCACCCCAGCGGATGTTGGAGAAGACGACGTGGGTGGTGGGGATTTGCGCCTTGATCAGGTCCGGGTTCCCCTCGGTGCTGCTGCAAGGGCCAGAACTGCCGCTGTCGAGCCAGTTCATAAAGCCGCTGGCATCGTTCCAGATGCTGAAGGCGAGGACCATGCCGCGGCCCAGTGCCTGGCCCATGGTGGTCAGTCCGCCAAATGTGGCTGCTGAGCTGTCGACGGACGTGCACCAGTCCTCGGTGATGGAGCTGACGCCGGCGGAGGACACGGCGTTGGCGATCACCTTGCCGTTCTGGATGTACTGTCTGCGGATCTCGGTCAGGGTGCCGGTGGTGGTGCCGTCGTTGGTGACAAACTGCGTGGTGATGGTAAAGGGCTTGGAGGTGTCGACGGTGCCGCCGGGTCCCCAGTAGCCCTGCTGGCCTAGAGCGTATGGGTTGAAGCCACATCCGCCCTTGTCGCAGTCTGTCGCGCTGCAGGGGTGGGGTGTGTACGAGTTGGCGCGAGAGTTGGCCTCGAGGATGTCCATCTCGTTGCAGCAGTAGCTTGCGCCGCTGGTGTTGAGGGTGCCGTTCTTCCAGGCAATCACGGGGCACTGCGCGTCACAGTAGCCAGAGCCATACTCGGCGCCTCCAGTGTTGTATTCGTTGCGACCACCGGTGGCGCTCATCTCGGTGAGATACAGGGCACCGTTTTCACCGCAGGGGAGTGTGGACAGATCCACGTCGAAGGAGAGCTCCTGGCCTAGCAGCTTCAGCATGACATAGTTCTTGTCTGCCCCCAGGAGGTAGAGGCGAGGCGAGGCGTTGGTGTAGACGCCGTTGCTCAGGACATATTGATACATAGTCAGAGAGTCACCCGAGGTGGCCACACCGGCGCTGGTGTAGTTCGCCGGCTCGATCACGCAGTTCTTTGCGCAGGTGGCCTCATCAGGACAGAGGGTGCTGTTGACTCCGGAAGATGTGGTGCAAGATGTATACCCATTGACCGTGTGGATCCAGTGGTAGCCCCAATCAAGAACCACAGATGTATCCTGCGCGACGCAACCGCCAGCAGTGGTGCATTTGTATGTTGTAAGCTTGGGGTTACCAGCAGAGCTTGAGGCAGGTTGTTGCGCGGAAACGAGAGGAAGCAGGGCCAGCACAGCTGCCACAATGCCTCTTTTGGAGTCCATGTTGCTTTTGACAAGTATTAATGCTTGAGATGGGATGAGCAATAGTTCATCAACCCGGGTATTTATACCTAAGCCAGGAGAACCACCGACTAGACGGAGAAATTCTGCTCAAGGGATTTTGCAGAAGCGCCATTTCGCTAAGTCAATCTGCGAATCGGGCAGTATTCACAAGACAACCATTGTGAATGCGCTCGTGAATTGTAGATTGAGGTATGCGATAGACGCCTCCGTGTTTCATCTTGATGGATAGGACCATCAGTAATTAGACTGGCTTGACTTGGTCAAGCTCCTACGGCCCGCCGATCCGATTGTTGTCCCTCCTTTTCTGTCCAATTTGTCAATTTGACCATTATACCCCGCATCTTCATGCCGGATTGACTTCTTCAGACTTGGAACATGCAACGAGCTTCCAGATCCGGATTGGTAGTTGTTCGCTAAGGACACTTCGTTCGGCTCTTGAGCGCAGCCGCCAGGCACCGACATGCTTCCCCGCAGACACCATGCAGAAAAAGCCCCAGGAATTTCGGCTGTTTTGGATTAGGCTAGGCTTTTGATTTAGGGGGTCTCAGACCGAAGTCAACGAATCATGGAGATTCTCCAAGTAAAACACGCCCCACCTGCTGTTCCTGATACGGAAATTGAACGCCGAATAGCTTCATCACGGATGAATACAGAAACTTTGTTTAATTAACCTTGATCGCGGAAAGTGGTAATCACAGGAATGTATTGGATGCTGAATAATAAATTGCAGTGATTGAATTATTAATATTAGTACAATACAGTCACTAATAGTGCAGGCAGCCAAAATGCACTATGCATTAAGCTGCTAGCTAGAAGGAATACTTGCTGCAGAACAAATTAATTCTTGTCTTTAGCACTCTTGTGATATAATCTATGCAAGGGAACCGCCCTGTTTCATTCACCTACTGTCGAGTCTTAAAGGGAGAATTTTTACGCCTTTTCCTACACTAATATGACCGTAATGAAACCCGCACTATCCTAAATTGGCAGTCTAATGGGCAAATATTTCCTCTGCAATGACGGTACAAATTCTGGCGTCCCTGCAGCGACTTGAGTCTTGAAAATAAGGAGCGAGACTGAGAGCGTTCAGCACATTATGCCTGATTTTCAAGTATCTTCTGGCCTAAGAGTACTTGTCCGGAAAGCTCTCAATACCAGTTCATCATGATGGATAGTAGGACTCGAGAGGCTTGGCAGTTCCCAGCTTCGTGACAGAAGATCCCGCCTGGTTCAGTCGTTCCAACTCCTTCTGGCGCATGTCTTCCTGTATCTGCAGCACTGTCAGATCTAGAACTAAAACAAGAAAGGGAATGAACTAACCTGCACACGCGCGGGAGTCAGCATCTCCCTCTCCCTTGTGATCTTCCACTCCGGCAAACCCTCGGGTCGGCCGAGGTCCTTCAGAGTCTTCTGCTCTACAAGACTGTATTTACCGTCGGGTCGGTTATAGTTGAAGGGCTCCTTGAGAGAGACGGGAGGGTTAGTGATGATGCGGACTTCACGCAGGAGATTGCGCGATGCAGAATGCAACATGAACGGGTGGAGGAGGTAGACGTCGCCTGCTTGTCCGGTGGCTTCGTGGAAGGACTCAGACCGTGTGAGTTGGGGATCTTGTGCCCAGTCTCTCCACTGTTTGCCTCCCTCTGGAGGCGGAGGGGTTGGACCCGAGCGAGATGCGAGCGATGGCCATGTTCCTTCGGGGTGGTCGTACTGATCGAGTCAGTCTAATTCTCCTCATAAGGAAGCGAAAACTGACCAGATGCTTAGCTACAAGACCAATTCCATCGGTGCATATCACAGTTCCGCCTCTCTTGGACTTGATATCGCTGAATAATGGGATTACCAAGAGCGCTTGCTCCCCGCTATCCAGGAAATGCGTGAACCAATCTCCGTCGTTATGCCAGTTGTCTAACGTGCGGAAGTCCAACGGATCATCGGGTTTGTATTCTGGTCTCCCGAGATTGATGATCCACGAGTCCCTTGCACCAATCCGTCACCCGCTCTGCCCCGCCGACGAGCTCACAGATCGCATCCCATGCCTTTGGCGCAAAGTCTTTCACGTCGACGACTGTGTGGCCGGGCATGTTGACTCTTTCACTATTCCAAGTGGACTTGTCCTTCGGGGAGATGCCCAGGCGAGCCCAGATGGAGGCTGTCCAGTTGTCGGCATCTTCCTTGGTGAAACATTGAGGGATCTTGACGAAGCCGTGTTCCAGCCAGTGCTGCCTTTGTTCTTCAGTGAGAGGCATGACTTCTTCAATATCTTGGTCAAGCTATGGTCGAGGTCCTGAAAAGATGTAAGTATTGTCTCGATGAAGATAATCTGTATAGCATCATTTATTGCCAGCCACGTGGTGTCTTTAAAGATGGATGATACCCGGGATTACCCCACTCGAATCAACCATGGTCAACCAGTCAGATACATCTGGATAATCGGCGGTGGATTACCCGCATTTTAACCGGCTTGACTCATTTGATGCAATGGATTTGTCACCATCAAAGCTGTTGAGGGGTTATATGTCTGTGTGTAGGTCTACATAGTTACTACAGTCGTAAGTAAAGTCACCCTCCTTTTTGGTCTTGAGAAGCTGGACTGTAGGGACGCATTGACTTAGATGTGATATCACATTGCCAGCTTATCAACTTCATGACAAATTATGAGTTGAACGTTGAACGCAAAGTCATTTCCCCTGTCATTGTTCCTATCCACAGAATGGATAGCAAGCCTTATTCGAAGTCCTCGTACGACTTTCTTTTGAAGGACTAGTGGCTTGGTTTCGGCCCTAGACGCTATATTTCTGTGAATATTCTCTTCATATGGTGACTTCATACTCTCTTTGCTAGGCACTAGAGTGGATTGAATGGAATATTGGATTGTTTAGGCTGAGTATACAGCTTATAGATATAGCCTGCTGCATATTGCTTTCCTGCTTAGTACATTTATAGCATGCATCTAAGGCCTGTTAATGTATTAAGCATGCAGGATTCTGTTGACCATGTGTGTAGAGCGAATTTGGTTATGGTCACCCAGACAGAGTGCACTATTCTATGACCATGTATAATGTTGATCCTAGTCCTCTTCTAACTCCTAATAATATAAGAAAAATTCATATTATAGAGCTATGTAGCTTCTGTAAGCTTAGTTTAGGGGGAGTATATTTTATCTAATAACCTAGACTAGGTCTATAATTATTAATAGTAAGATTGCCCTTTTAAGCTCTATTAAATAGGATAGGCTTTATTAACATAGGCTATGGTTATGATGTTGACACCTAATCCCATGGCTCCCTATATAGATTCCCAGTGATTTAAGACAATAATTGATCCTTATCTGGCTGTCACTAGAGTTTCTACCATCCAGGTAGTATGTATGCTTGCCTTCGTTCTAATTTATCATTCACTGCCCGCTGGACATTTTCATTCATGTTAGTTGCTTAATGGCGTTAAAATGGCCCCCAAAGACATGGAAAGGGCAAGGCTTGGCCACGAGGCATGATCTGGAAATCGACATTCAACTTGCGGAACCTCTCCTTCAGTAACTCAATTCCATCATCCATGACATAGCCAGTTTCCTCTATAGCTTTCGGTATGTGGCCTAAGCAAGTCCAACAGCCAAGCCCTGGCTCTAGCTCTTTGATGGCAAAGTGTATACCTAGCTTCTGGAGATCAGGGAAATCTGTAGAGACATGCGCGGCAAGAGTCTCTAGCTCATGACACAGCATGGATGAAGACTGGATCAGACAGTTTCTGATATACAAAAAACAAAGGGATCGCGGTAGAACCTCCCATAGAGTGGTAAGGGGGATGTTCGTTCGTTCTTTGAAATCCATCAGGTTACTCAGCCGCATATTGATGGTTTCCAAGACTGGGAAGTCAGACAACGACCCGAGGAATCAATCAATCAATCAATCAAGATTCTATTAACCTGATGTAGCCTATCTATTGAAGCAATTAGCTATGCAGGCGCTTTGCTGAATGAAGCAGGAATCTAGTATCTCAACACCTGAAGCCCATAAAACCCATAAATGCAGAAGAAATATAAGAAATTAGTATATAGCCATATTAAAAGCAAAACATAGCTAAACCAGCCTACCACCAGGCTGCATGCCTCCCTTACACTATCTTAGTGTATCAGACATCTATCCTACCTCATTCCATGTAATTCTTCTAACTGTATTATGATTCTGTGCCTAGGAAGACCCTTCCTGGGCAGCTATGTGGTCTATTTAACCATCATCTTCCACATCTATTCTAGAGCCTTGTAGGAGGCTTCTATATTCCTAGTTCTACTTATCTACTATTTCTATATAGTGGAACTAGCTAAGCAGGCCTATTTAATACATAAATTTAGTAATATAGTAGATTACCTATAGGTTAGATATAAGTATATTATAGTCTAATAGTTTCCCCCAGAGTCCCTCTATATTATATAGCTTAGTAATCATCTTCCTGCAGGCTTCTATATATAGCAAACATTATAGAAGAATATACCTAGGGGTCTAGGACCCCTCTCTATAGCTGCATCAGTCCATATCATAGGCCTTAATCTTAAAAAGGAAGTATTATAGACTAATCTACATGGTCTATATTTAGATAATAATTAATATATATAGCTTTAGCAAACCTTTATATAAGCCTAGGTTCTTCTTATAGGGGGCCTTAATTAGCTACTATATTAGCTTAGCCCCTCTCTCTATCTCCTACTATTTCTTCTAGTGTTACTAGATTCATTAGTAGACAGCTTACTTAGCTACTATAGTAAGCTAGATAATTAGTTATTCCAGCCCTACTAAGCTTAATTAAACCTTACTATCTTATATAGTAGCCTCCTTTACTACCTTATCTACAGCCTCATTCCCTGCCACACCCATATAGGCAGGGATCTAGTATATCTTTATAGTCTCTAGAGCCAACCTATGCGCCCTTAAGGCCTCTATGCCCCTATATATCACTATTAGGATATATTAGCCAGAGGGGCAGTGCAGGTTCTGCACTATCTAGATAGTAGCCTAGCTATTAGTAAAGATAGTAAGTAAGCAGGGGCTTAGCTCTCTAGTAGTAGTAGTATATAGTACTATATAGATTCTATCTAGCTTAGTAATATATATAGTTAAGTCTACCTCTATGCCTAGGTGGTTCTAGTATATCTATTAGTTATAGGGGCAGATAGCTAAGGCACCTATATAGCCTTAGTAGCTACTATTATTAGTATAGATAACTATATACTAGTTATCTACCTCTTTATATATCTTATTATAGGTCTTTAGTACAGCTTTATAATCTTTAATTATGTAATAGAGGGGAAGCTTCTAGAGGGGGAGTATATATACTTTCTATATTTCCTATTCCTCTAGGTATTTTAGAGTAGGGGCTAGCAGGCTACCTCTCCTCCTAAGTATCTCTAGTAGAGTAAGGCTACTCTACTATATTTCTCTAGTTAGTTATAGCTTCTCTATAAGTCCCTAGGGGCAGGTAAAGCTTAGCCTTATCTAGATTTAAATAGTAGTTTCCTTAATAATCTACTGCATCTATAGGTAGATTAGTAGTAGGTATAGTTCTATATTTAGCATAGCTATAGTAGTCCCTTAGAAGGCACTACTAATTAGAATAGCTATATACTTCTAGATCTTAGTAAATTTATTAATAATCTTAGTCTATTCCCCTGCTAGGATTAACCTACTAATAGGGCTAAACCATACTATAACTCTATATAGTAGCTGTAGGATGACTATACTATAATAGATTATATATATAGCCTCTAGTAAAGCACCCTAGGTTAATCTAGTAATGCTTTATAGCACCTCTAGGCTGCTATTTATATAGTTAACTACCTTAGTATAGTGGATGCTAAAAGAGAGGGTCTTATCTAATTAGATGCTAAGGTATCTAGCTAACTTAGTGTCACACCCTGGGATCTGTCTCTGCTGTTCTCTGCTAGTCAACTACTTTGGGAATAAGATGATATAGTCCCTGGACTATATCTGATACTTGCCTGAGGCCTACCACCCTGGTAGCCTAATGATGTAATAATATAATAACCCCTAAAGGTTAAGGACAATCTAAAGGTAATATAAGAATAATAATAGTAGAGATAGAAGCAAGGCCTATTAAGTATATATACTTAATAATAAGAGAGTAATTAATAAATTAGACTAGTGAACTTATACTTAAGTAAGTTATTAATATTAAATATAAAGAACTAAACTAAGAGTGCTAGATATAATAATAATAAGTATCCTTATATAGTTCCTCTATTAGTAACTCTATTTATAACTCCTATTACTACCTCTATAGTTACTATAGAGTAGATTATAGAGTAGCTTACTACTCCTTATCTTAGTATAATCCCTTCTCTAGGGTAGTCATCATATGTTAGTATAGACTAAAATAAGTATCTCTAGTATAATTATAAATTATTCTACCTAATAATTCTAGTACCTAGAATTAGTTAGCTATGGTTCCCTCTTCTAATTCTGCCTATTATATCTACTTTATACTAATATAGCTATGTTATAATATTACCTCCCCCTCCTTTAGTATTTCATCCCTAAAACTTTACTCATAAGGCCTGCAGCCCCCGTGGTAAGTATTCTTTTATTTTTTTTTTTTATTTTAATATATTAGTATCCTTTCTGATTTTTATTACCATGCTAGTTAATAATAAGACTTATAAGAGAAATTAACTTATCTAGTATTATATAATTTATCTTAATAGTTTCTCTATTAAATCTCCTTATACCTATTACATTTATCAAGGTGTTACATATATCATAGATTTAAAAAGTTAAAATTATGCTGAGTATACTTAGAATAATAAAATATATAAAAAGTAATTCTATAGTAAACATAAGTAGAATTAGGTTTTAAATACTTAAGAGAAAATAAAAGAAGATATTTTAAAAATAGAGTTAACTTTACTAGTTTTAAATACAGAGTAATCCAGGCTTTTAGCTCACCTAGCTAAGATTTCTTTAAAAATATTAGAGTTAATGGCTTGTATCCATCACCTATAGAAATAAGATAAGATATTAAAGATAAAGAGTGGTTATATATTAAATTATAATACTCTAGTTATAGATTAATTAGATAAGGAGGATCTACCTATTCTTAATAAGAATCTATCCCTTACTACTATAGATAAAGGTCCCTCTTTAACTTAGATAATAAGTAATCCTTCCTTCTAGTTAAACTTTAAGCTCCCTTCTAGTAGTATTACTAAGTAAGTTAGTAGTAGCCTATTAGATTCTTA